AATACTCAAACTTTTGTCATCGAGTTCGCAAAAACTCGCGAAGAATTTAGTAATAACTCCAGTAATCTTTCCTAAGATTACAAAAAAAAAAGAAGTTTCTCCGCGTACAAGAAATTCGACCTAGATTTTCCGTGAAAATTCGACTCTCACAAAAAAATTTTGCGGTTTCACTGCAATTTTTTAAAAATATACAATTCATCTTAATTTATTTACCATAAAAAAGGGATTCCTGTGAATTCCAATTTTCCAATAAAAAAAATAAATAAAGTAATCAAATAAATAATAAAAATTCTTTGATGTCACATGCCAATTTTATTTTCACAGTGCGGTAATGAGAATTAATTTACCATCGGAGAAATTTTCTTCAGACATTTCGAACTCGTTAAACTGATAATTATAAAATCTCAAATCGCCACTCAACAAATCTGGTGACAGATAATTAGCGGTGACTGGCTGATACGACTTTTACTCGATATTTGGAGTACGTGTGTGTGAATTTGCAAGGAATTGGTGTTTCTCGTGATTGGAATTCGCAAAAGGCAATATTCTGGTAAAATCCGATCATGCGTCTCCATTCTCTCCAGATAATACCACTTTTCAGGATAAAAAATCATCAACAAATTCTCACTGAAATGCAGCCACTCGACGCGTGCTGCATTATTTTGCACTTTATGAGTTATAAATATTTAACGGGGGATTATCTAATAATCTAAATATTTCTCCAGGGGACATAAAAGCAAATCCCTTTTTGCAGCTTCTCGGCATTTTTTTTCAGCGATATCCAGTGCATTGTAACCAATTATTATTATTTTCTATCAATAGTCAATATGTCAATAAAAAATTTTGAATTTCCCTCGCCACTGAATTCTTTCGCAAAATTTATTTAATTGACGGCAAAAAATTTGCGTGAATACTGTATCAGTAATTACTAATCGCGATTGAATTTCTTAATTACGAAAAAATATATTTGTCAATATGAATGAATGGATTGATGCACCAATAAATTTCATTGAAATAAAAAAATGGGAAATGGATGAAAAAATGAAAATAATGAAAATTTATGTTTTT